AATTCGTCCTTAGCCAACGACAGTTGAAGTTAAGGCGACTTGTGAACAAATCGATCCTACACTTTTAATGCTCATCATTCTTTGTAATCTCAAACGACANTTTANGNTGTTAGATTGATTGATGAAGTGGTTGATACCACGACAGTGGATCCTCTTATTTTTATGGTTGAGTTCTAGATTGGTTCTTAATTGATATCCTGAATAATTGTTTGGTTCTAGATAACCTAATCCCTGACATACTTTTCTTTGATCTAACGTCTTTACGGAAATTGTCCTTATATAATTATGCTCCCCAAATTCGTCATCTCTAGGATTCCTTCTTCAAGGTCTACCAACAAGGGTGGAAATTGCAAACTGAGGTTCCAACATTTAATTGGGCTGATATTTCATAAATTGGGCCTTAGAAAAGGAAGAATGCAAGGCTAAAGAAATCATCATACCTGAAATAAATTTGGGATGACGAAGCATAAAAATCACCAAACCATTTAATCTCTTCATTTTTATTGCTCTAACATGTGCCCATATGGAGATTCACAAGCCGCGGTTATATGAAACTTTGCGTTTTCTGATTTACCCTACAATAAGAACCAGACAAGAAACTTAAAAACAGGATTTACTTGAGGACTGTATGTTCTTGAAGAACAATATATGTAACCGATGATCGTGTTTGAGAAATTCAAGATCGAGAGCTAGTTTCAAGTGTTTGATTATTCTTCATTAAGTGTAATCAATGTACAAGCGAAACCTTATATACAAACTACTAAACCAAAGACTAAACCATAAACCAAATATAACCTGAACCAACTAAACCAATATATATACTAATACTCCCCCTCCATCTTGGATATGAAGAATTGATGGGCAGGGAAGTGTCTTTGATGATCTCTCTTTATCCTTCTCAACGAGGGGAATGTTGAACCATGTTAATGTGAGAAATCTTGTGTGATGGAAGTGGCATGAATCCCATGGTGGAGAGACATCGCAGAGCTCGAGCTGGCGTTACTGATGAGGTAAAACCGATTTGACTAGTCATTAGTTTCTCAAACTAATCAAGATCCATATCATTCTCACTAACTAACTTTTTTACAATTTGCAGATGGTGTATGCGTTCATGGCCGTGAGACCACTCCCAAACATGTTCGAGTAAAGCTCAGAACCGGATCTATAATTGTTTCAGAAACTATAGTTGGTTGTTTTATGTGAAAAGATTAGTTGATTTTTAAAACTGAATTAAAGTCGTGGTATTTATGAAAAAATTATCCAATTATATTTTAAATATTCTACAAACTATTCTAGGATTCGAATATACATGGTTTGATTTGGACTATTATCCAAATAAACGCTCATTGATCTTTTAATCTAGAAAGTCCATATATACGATATTTATTCACTTGCTTCCTCAGCAAGGCAACTCAAGAAACAAAAATACCTCTGAACAAGATTTCCCAGAATCAATTCGAATCAAGTCTTAGGTAGGCCCAATAAGACAAGGCCCGATATCCGAGGTCATCAATATAAAGAAAGGAGAACAAGTGGGCTCCAAGGAATACAAGACGAACAAGAGGTCGAGAGCAAAACCCTAGCCCTAATTTTTCCGATCATGAGGTTTCTTGCAAGATCCGCCATTGCGCAGGTAATGCAAAATAAGAATCCATTTACCTTTGGTTTTTTTATTTGTTCTTGAATCTTTTCCACCACTGAATCAATCAAAACCCTACTCGGAAAAGTTGCAGTATAATAATCTCTGAGGGAGATCAATTGGGACGACGACTTGGAATTTATCTAACTCGCCTGATAACACCGAGTTCTCCTCTAAATGTTTTTCATACATCAGTGAGTCTCTAATCTCGATAAGATTGATAAAATTGATTCTTCTTCTTCCTTACACGTTACTACTTTAGTTTGCTCTTAGATACAGGATGT